GGAGATGATTCTGATGTTACATGACTGGATGATACATCATAACTGGAAAGAGTGATTTTAGTTACATTAGTCATTGAATCAGTCCCTGTAACAGTCCTAGGGCTTAATATTCTATCATGTTCAGAGCAAGATCTCTTACGAGCCAACGGTAACCATGGGTCATCTCTATTTTGGGATTCTGTCTCTTCAGCTTTATCAGATGAATTTGCATGGGTTTTATTTTTCTTATAAGGATTAACTTTTGAATCATATGAAAACTTTCTCTCTCTTATACTATCTTCTTCGTCATTTTTTTTATTTATATCTTGTGGCTCTTGGTAAATCTGATCAACAGATCTTTGTTTAGGAATGTTATTGTCATCCATCAATAGATCACTGTTTTCATCCAAATAGGCAGGGTTTATGTAATCACTGTACTTCGTAATCCATGAAGCCCATATAAGACGCTCACCATTAACAGCCCAGAACTTTTCCCAAGTATTTTCTGATAGATAATTTTCATCACATTCTGTTATGGTTGGGGCAGGAAAATCTTGTTCCATCTTTTCTAGTATATCATGTGTGTGTGCTGTATAATCTGAATGGCAATCTGGATAAGTGAGATCAGCCCCGCTGTCACTAGGTTGTAATGAATGAGATACTGTTCCTTGTAGTTGTGCGGGATCATGTTCATCTGTAGAACAGTAGTTGTCTGTGTGCGATGCACTACAATAGCAACTTGCACTTTCATCTTTCTGTGAAATAAAATAACAATACGTCTAACCAGTTTATATAATTTAAATTGATATTGATAAATATTAAAATTACAATTTTTTCAATAAGAACACTTAATTTGTCATCTTGGTCAGCTGCTACCATTTGAACAATACTAATTGTTATATTAATGATTCAGAATATAGGTTACTAAGTGTGATTTATATTTCAAATCAAATGGATCCTATTGAAATGAACATACATTTAAAGGTAAATCAAAAGTGAATGATAGATTTGAATTTCAAGTCCTTTTTTATGATAATCAATGCACTTCAATAGTTACCTGTGAGAATTATGCCAAATAGTTAAAATTAGTTTTTATTGATAAATATTATGTATTTACTAAAAATCACAGAATTACAGTAAATTTAAACGTGCCTGTAAGAGTTACTTTATCAACTATTATAATTAGCAGTTCTGCACATGCATAATTTAATACCAGATACTCACCTCACATTTCACTTTATAAGAAGTATCCAATGAAAAATGTACATGGGAGTGTTCATCCCATTCTTGGGAGTCACGGGTAACTTCTACATCGCTTTCACTGCCTTCTTCCTTTTCAACATAATATGTTTTCACACCATCTCTGAAGAAAAAAGGTTGAATGATTTTTAGTAACAATTTTTATTAGAGGATATTTTGCAATCATACATTTATACTAACTTACCGAATGAAAGCTCTACTACACAAACAGTAAACATAATTATCCTCGTCATATTCATCAGTTTCATCACTAATTTTGAAATGAAACTCAGCAAGTGGTTCCCAGCGGTGGTAATGATCAAAATATTCAGACATCATCACTGAAACTTGGGTTTCTTTATCGTCTTAGATATTATACAGTTAACAGTATATAAAGATGGATACACTAACACAATATTGAATGTTTCTGTTGTTTGCTTCCCGAAAAAAATCGAAGATTTTGCCCAAACAAAATCACTAAAACATATTTTTTAAATGTCAAAGTTTTTAACACAGAACACATGCAGAACACCAATGCCTTGGATGAATATCGTAGAAAATGGTCATTTTTCTCTATTTGCTCTGTGGTCAGAAGTATTGCTACTGGAAATAATCATGAACACGAACTTTACAGCTTTTCTACATGTGGAGTGGTAGGTAGAGTCTGGCAAGCGAAACGTGTCACAAGAAAAGGGCGGCAATTTCAAAAATTCTTAAGCAGTAAACACTGAATGTAGTACTGCAAAATAATTTTGATACTTTTATTAATTATATTTAATCTTAACATTTAGATATCAATTAAAATTATTTGTTTTGGAACATTTGACTAAAGCGTGACTGTTCTTAATTGTACAGTTAACAGCATATCAGTAGGCCTATTCACTAACTCAACTGACAACCAAGAATCGTCATCACCGTAAAAAATAGACACTTTGATTGTGTCAAAATCACTATTTCGTATTCTCTATCAATGATGAGCAATTTCGAAATGTCAATATCGGCATTCTCCACTGGACTCCATTTTGACACTTGATTTCGTATCGATAAACTGTATTAAAGTAACATTGTTGCAAAGCATATTTGAAGTCGTCGCATAGTACCTCTTAAGCCATTTGTTGTTAAATTAAAGCGAAAAAAAATACGTATCCAATATTTTTCTATTATCTGACTGACGGACTAAATCGAATCTTTTTTTTAACCCATTCGTTATACCTATTGGCTAACAGCACTTATAATATTAAAAATTCATATTTGTCATTAATTAAAAGGGTGTTTTTTGCAACGACTTCTTTGTTTTTTTGTAATGAATATGGGCGACTCTGGCCACATTTTTTTAATAAATGTGATGTTAGCCAATTTTGATTTCTGGCCCTTATATTTATAATGTGTTCATAACACATACATGTCTCCTAAGGGATTTTCATCACAACCTTTTGCTCTGATCCAGAACCACTATCTATCAAATTAAATTAGTCAATATAAACACCAGATTACAATAAAAAAAACATTTATTTTTGTTACAATTAAGTGCCATGGATAAATTACATAATACAGGTGTCACAAAATCATCATGTTAATCACAATAGAAAATTTAAGATAAGATTTTGACTATGAATCAGACTAAAAATACTTTAGTCTGATTCATAGTCAAAATCTGTTTCTAAATATTCTACACCTGATAACAATGACAAGGAATCATCAGAGTCACTCTCTTCACTACTGTCTGCACCAACAGATATAATAAATTTTTCAAGTTCGTTTTCAACAATGCCATCTTTTAATTTGTAATCATTTTCGACATTTAAAACATGATCAGTGTATTTCTTCCAGTCACTAGGGGTAATTAAGTTAAAACACTCTATTATTAAGTTTTCCATTTCCTTTCCTGGTATTCCAATGTTTCTGCTTGCAATTTTTCTTTTTGCTTGACTCCAAACCATCTCTATTGGGTTTAAGTCACAATGATACGGTGGCAGCAATAAAAGTTCATGATTATGTTCTTTTAAAATCTCTTCAGCTTCATATACAGGCAATGTTTTCTTATCATTAACCAAACACATTAACTCTGCCTTTGTCTGATATTCCTCAAAATGTATTCCATTATTTACAAGCCATTTACGGATATCTGCTTTGGTATTAGACATTATAGGCGGTTTATTGATTTGTTTTATATGGTAGCTGGCATTATCCATAACAATTACACTGGGCTTACTTAAATTTGGTATTAATTTTTCTCTGACCCATTTCATAAAGTTCGATGAGTTCATATCATCATGATAATCAGCAGATTTGGATTTACTACTGAACACTAATAATGCACCAGGCACAAAACCTTCCTCAGATCCAGCATGCACAACAATATGCCGTTTTCCAGAGGATATCTTTGTAGTGACACCAGTTGTTGAAGGTCCTTGCCAAGACTTTTTAACTTTATAATTCTGATGTACATAAGTTTCATCAAGGTACACAATTTGCTTTCCTTCGTTTCGTTTTATATTTATTTCTCTCAAATACTTGTGCCTCCATGCAGAAATCTGGTATTTTTCTATAAGCATAGAACGTTCATTTTCATTGCTTTTAAAAGAAAATCCATTCTTAAGCATAATTTTTCGTAAAGTCTCACGGCTACCACTGAATCCTATTGCATCTTTTAATTCATTGTGAAGGCTTCTTAATGTTGGAACAATTTTTTTCACACAGTAAAATTCATTTACTTTATTCCGAATTGCACTTAAATCAAAATTATCTAAAGCAGACACTGTTGGTTGATGAGGTCGTTTTTTCCCAGGAGTGTCCCATTTTCCTTTATTAATTAATGCTTCATTTTTTATCCTTCTTAGTGTCCTTATACTTACATCTATAAAAGATTAAACACTTTGAAACAAAGATATGTTAAATGTATTTAAAAGCAAATAATGATAGACACATACATCAAAATAATTTAAATACCTATTCAACTATGAATGCAATTTATGTTTAATTTAGTTAAGTTTATGTGCATATTTAGCATGTATAACAATTACATGGTTTGATTAGTTTCATGAATTCTGTGAATTTCCTTGTTAAACAAAACATTCTTATGACATCATTGGATGTCAACAATAAAAACCAATACATCATAAAAAACCTATGTAAATATTATAGGAATACTATCAATCTATCTTAAATCAAAACAAGAAAAGAGACCTGTCATTGAAGAAATTTTTTGTAAGTACTGCGTTTCCGAATTCAGCATTTCTTGTTTTTCTAAAGTTTTTATTGCATTTATCTCCTCCATTATTGGTTGAATATCACCATCACAGTTATCTGAAATAGAGCAATATTTTATAAAAAATATCTGTTCAGTTAATTACAGAAAATTAAAACGAAAGTATCAAAATTATAATACAAAACTAACCTAAAAAAGATACAACTTTATCTAATCGTTGTAATTTCTCCATGAAATTTTTATTTAATTCAGTTTTCACTTCAGTAAACATCATGATGGAAAGAAGTTTCCTCGATGAACTTTTTATCGGCTTCGACATAATTTTTAACCAAAAACACAAGTTCAAATTCGCAAAAACAACAAAATTCAATATTCTTGAATTGTCTAACGTAGTGTCAAACTGACAGTTCTATGTTGTTGCCATATGAAAACGGAAAAATAGGTGGTGTCACGTTTCGCTTGCCAAACTCTAATACGAACAGTGGGGCAGTAGTTGGACGATCGTTTTTAGCCGGCCGAAATTATTCCTAAACGAGAGGGTATTTGACGTTTAAGCAAAACATGTGTTTGTGACAGTGACATTCTCGGCAACGCATGTTGTTTGCGTAAAACTCTAAAACCCTATTTATTTAATTAAAAAAGTTCTTTCTTACGTATCATAATGGGCAAAAAGAATAAAGATTCTCTTGGACGCGCTCTTATCAAAGATAGATTTTCTAAAAATCGTCACCGTAAACATGTTGAAGATAATACTATGGTACGTATCCCACCTTGTTTTTATTTATCTGATGAATAAAGGTTACTTGATTTTATCGTTAGCAACCAAGTAGGGTATTTCAATTATGCACATCGTAATACAAACACATATTTTTATAGGCCTACCAGACATTTAATTAGATTGACATTTAATTTTTAGACATTTAATTAGTTGGTTAGATTAGGCATAAAGTTTGTAAACAATGATTTAAATCTTGAAATAATTTATAGTTGATTTTATGAGTGAGAAGAAATAAAAACTAGCAATTCAATATTACACTGCCTCTCTTGAAATCAATCTCCACCAAAGCACTTATGAAGTCATTTTGTTATCTTGATTTCAATTGCAGTGGAGATTTTTGGGAGGATAAACTAAATGAAATATAAGTCAAATAAGCAAAGAGAATATAATATTTGCATTCTTAAGCTCTTATTTCAAGAGAAGTCTTTCAAACAGTATCATTAATAAGAAATACTTTTGTTTATAGTTACATACAACAGAAGTGAATGATGGTTATGACTGGGGAAGGCTCAATCTTCAGTCGGTCACTGCTGAGTCTTCCTTGCAAGAATTTCTCTCTACTGCAGAATTAGCACAAAGGGAATTTACAGCTGAGAAGATGAATATGAAATATGTAAAATCAGTTCCCGATGCTGTGGAAATTGTCACATCACAGCCTAATTTTGATGAACCCTTAACTGTACCTAGAAGGTAAGTTAAAAATCATTCATATTATAAATTAAAGTAAAATCAAGCTTTAAAGAAATTTGTCAGATTAGTATTGCCTCACATGATGTTCATAGTACATATTCTGAAGGTCTACTTGTCTACTATGTTCGTCAATGAAAGAAAATTTCAAGTTGATTTTTGTGAATATGAAATTCAATTAGTCAATTCGAGGAAGTGTGAGGTCCTGTCTCTGTAGCATCATAAATTTTCAATGTGTTTTTTTGGAGTTGTATAAATGTTTTGAAAATAGATGAAATGTAGTTTTTAGAGAAATGGTGTAGGTTTTATTGAATAGTATGATGAAAAAATATGTTCATATACTTTGTTATATTACCCACAACTCAACCTAAAAAAAATTTTGATAGTATTTTTTTTTTATTATAAATATATATTCTCTGACAGTTATTTTTAGATAGACACATGATCAGGACAGTACCTTGTACTTGTCAGTTTTCTCTGCTTACCCATTAAGTAAACTTGTGTGAAGATATAAATCAATGGCTCTTAATCTTTCACTTGTTAGGGGCTATTTGACAAATTTCTGTCTGACTATGGACACATTATGCAGTACTTTAATGTATATAGATTAATGAAACCTAAATTAATGATATAGAAGTCATAGAACTTAGCTTAATTATTATCATATTTTTTATAACAAATTCTTTAATTGATTGTTATTGAACAGACCCCCTTGGAAACCAGGCATAACAGCAGAAGAACAACAAGAGAAAGAGCGTGAATCATTTCTGGATTGGCGTCGACATCTGAATGAGCTTCAAGCAAAGCTTGGAGCTGCTCTCACACCTTATGAGAGAAATCTAGAATTTTGGAAACAATTGTGGAGAACTTTAGAAAGAGCCGACATAGTTCTTATATTACTGGATGCTAGAAATCCACTTTTATTTAGGTATAACTTTATTTTATCTAGTCTAAATTCAAATTTTTATTATAAACCAAAACAAGTTTTTTTATACTAGCTTAAAATAGATACTGCTTTATATTTGTTATCTGAGATAATTTGTTGAATTTGGTTTGAATGGAATGAATATTAAAACAACTGATCAGTTATATTGATTTCTTATAAATTGCATTCCCACTATCCATAAATCTTATGTAAACATGGAACCTCTAAAGGGTCCAAATCATCATAAAACTAAATACAAATGCTATGAAACTGTTTAAAAGTTGTTTCATTTATCAGATTAGTTGGTTTATAAACCTGATAAATCTAATTAAAAATAAATTTATGTTTAAATTCTTTTTTGTTTTTTTTTCTCACTCTTCATGTTTATGACAGGCTTTAGTTCATAGTTAAGCTAAAATATTGGGAATTAATGTTACCGTAAAATTCCTTGCCTTTATTGCATCCAATTTTTCTGTTATTTTTATTTAATTATATTTTAATATTAAATCTACAACTTATTTACAGGTGTAAAGATTTAGAAAAGTATGCAACAGAACAAAAATGCAAGTGTATATTGCTCCTAAACAAAGCAGATTTGACCAATGAATATGAAAGGAAATGTTGGGCAAAATACTTCACAGATGAGGTATATGTGTATTTTAATAATTTTGATGTATACTACTAGCTTTTTCCACGACTTCATCTGCACAGTATAGTTAATTTAGGCAGCCATTTGATTTTTTAAAATATTTTGTTTGTGATTATTTGTTTCAGAATATTCCTATTGTTTTTTTCTCTGCAGCTAAACAATCAAATGAACGAAAAATATCTGAAGCCAGTACTGATTCTAAGAGACAGAATGATATTGATGTTAATTCAGAGACAGAGACAGCAGAATCTTTAGATGATATAACAGCAAGTGATTTAGAAGAAGAAGCTCTAAGAAGCACAGATGAAGATATTGAATTGTTTAAAAGACAGTTGGGTGATCTTGATAAAGCAGTTGAAAGTACTGCGGTCAAATTAGATAAGATTCAGGTGTTATTGGATAAGGTTGTAGAAAATTTAAGGTTGGGGAAGCCTGTGGATCCTTCCATTATTTCTGAAGAAAATGCAGAGAATACAACAGATGTTCTCAGCGAAACCCTAGTGAATTCTCATGAAATATTTGACAGAAACATGTTGTTGGAAATGCTAAAGAAACAAAGGATTGATAATTTAAAAAATCCACCACGATTATCAGTAGGAATGATTGGTTATCCGAATGTGGGAAAATCTAGTACTGTCAATGTTCTAATGCAAACAAAAAAGGTAAGTTTATTTAATATCTATTACTATTATAAGTTTATTTAATATCTATTACAAAAAACTTACCATAACTTCTCTAGTTTACCATTAAAAATGTTAATATATTTTAAGAAACAAGAGAATTCTAGTCAATATATTGTAAATTTTGAAACTTAAGGTATTTTTTATGTTTCTAGAGAGCTTACTCGACAGTGTGGAGCTTACAGGCAAATTCAAAGTTCTTTCAATAGTGCCGTATTCTAATTGATATAGTAGTACATTAGGAACATTATCTGAATCTTTTATTTTAAATTGGACTTTATGCAATGACTGATAGAATCTTTATTTCAGGTTAGCGTGAGTGCAATGCCGGGACACACGCGTCACATTCAGTCACTCGTTTTGGACGATGAAGTGGAATTATTGGACTGTCCCGGGCTAGTGTTGCCAGCATATGCCGTTGCACCGGATCTCATGCTTACAGCCGTCTTGTCCATTGATCAAGTGGGTACAATTTTTGTTAACAACTGATATATTCCGCATTAAACGTCAAATATGTTTAAATTATTTATGATATGTGAGCTTAGATAGAAAGTTCCCAACTCCCCGAGTTAGGTAACTAAAGTGTTTCCGTAATAAAAAATTGAAACGAACTTTTTAAAAAACCGGTCCCATTCGACTCCTGAACCTTAGATATAGGCCGCAGAACCTTGAAATTGAAACCAGTCTGTTATCAGTTTGGCTAAAAAATTTGCGAGATAAAAAAATATTAGAAATGTCCTCTAATATTCTATTACAGTTAACTTTTTCTAGTAATAATATATATGTTTTAATTATACTACAAATAGATAAATAATATATATATGTTGTGGACCAAGTGCATTATGCATAATGCTTGTACATTCACTAAAATAACGCCATTATCCGTGTCTCTCTATTTTCGAGGTCAGCCAAACCTTGTCATTTTGTCTAATTTTTTCCTTACCTTTGTAAACGTATTTGTTTATTTATCAGATGCGTTCACATGATTCCGCGATGGCACGTCTCTGTCAACTGGTTAGTCGGCATACGTTCGAACAGAAATACGGTCTGTTACTACCACAAAATGAAGACGTCAACATAGACTACAAGCAGATACTGACCGCACATGCATGTAAGTATTATATATGAAGTCTGGTTGAAAAAAAAAGAACAAATGTAATAAAATTTTAATGCCTATAATGTAAGTCATACCTTTTTCCTTGAAGAAAAAAAACTAAACAGAATTCCTTTGTTTCCCTAGGTATCTATCCTATATAATCTCATCTGTGATTTGCGAGGTGTAAAATTAAATAGACGTGCTTTTTAGATATATTTTTTCTTTTTTTTCTCTTTACGTGTAAAGGCCACCAATTTGACACTGGCAGAATACATACATAAACAAGAGAAGAAGGAAATTCGTACCGAGCAATTACTATCATTTCTCCTTCACTCCAGAATGCGCACGAAGGGTTCCGTACCGGAAATGAGCAAAAAAAACACGTTTGTTGTATAGGAGTCCACTTAAATATTTATTTTATTCTGGTTTTTAGTATTTATTGTTGAAGGAACAATAGATATACATCATGTGTGATAACTTCAACCGTGTATCTTTCACGGTTTATGAGATACAGCCTGGTGACAGTCAGACAGACAGCGAAGTAATAGGGTTCTCGTTTTACCCTTCGTGTATACGGAATACTAAAAAAGAAATTCGTTTCGCCCGCCTCCTTCGGCTCGGATTGATACTATCATCTGTAACGTGAAGTTTACCTTTGAAAGACAACAGAGGGTTCATGACTGCCGCTGGTCAACCTGATCAGTCCAGATCTGCCCGCCTGCTGCTGAAGGACGCGGCGAGTGGGCGGCTGCGGTGGGCGGAGCTACCGCCCGGCTGCGAGCCTGAACCGCTCGACAGCATCATCGAGGAGAAGAGGAACGAGAAGAGGAAGCCTACGCCGCGCGAGGCGAGGATGGTTGAAGTGAGTATAGATCTTTTTTTTAATGGCCTTGTTCGGTTACGTACAGAAATTCTGCGGTTGTGTTATTTACGTGACGTCACTTATCGTTAGGGTCGCCAGATCATATCTACAGAATGACTACATAACCTACCGATTTACTGATATTCGTAAGTTCAATTATATCTGAGATCCAGTAATAAGACTATCTTTTACACAGATATGCTACTAAATTAAGCATTTTACTCAATTTTTTTATATATTTGGAATTTTTGTATATGGACAATGATAACTTGGGTGCCCGTGTAAATAAAAGACCACGTATATTTCTTCTTGTTTTATTATATCAAAATATTTGTTATTGTCTCTTTTACGTGTAAAGGCCACTAACGTGACATTTGCGGAATTGTGTAATTCAGTTCTTTTTTTAAATATATGGCCTATTTATTGGCCTATTAAAAAAGAACTGATCATAAACAAACATTGCTCATCTAAGCAAGTGCTTAGTAAGGCATTACCTAACGTTACAGCTATAGTGAAACGGTAAATCTGTCTACGCTATTCTTAATATTAAGTTAAGTCTAGTTAAGCTATGCTTTGTTCTACGTTAGTGAAAACGGACGTTATTCTATGTTTAGATAACACAGAAAATTCTACTTTTCAAAGTTAAATGTTTTCTCAACCTCAGTTTAACAAAACAACACATTTTGTTACACCTACTCTGCGAAGAACATCATAAGACACATTTATTTAGAGCAGAATATAAATTAAACTGTCAGCAGCGCATTTTCGTTTTTCTTTTCCGTATTTAAAAGCTAAATTTAATCTGATTTTGTATTGATATGCTGATGTCATTGTTACAAAACAATATTTCGTCGTGTCATTTTTCGTCTCGTAGGAATAGTAAATGTGCTCACAAGTTTGAACCAGAGAAAACTCTTTGTCTGTGGATATCAGATGCGTGCAGTTTCGGGACTCTTTCATGAAACGATTTAAAGTCTATTTCTCAAGCAGGATTTTAGGAATTGCTACCTTAGCAATAAGGCCGCCTTTTGCATGTATGCTTATATTTATTTTGTTTGTGTGTTTGCTTTTAGTGCAATGAAATATATTCAATCATTAGAGGCCTTACGGTGGCTGCAAATGTGACAGACGGTCCTTCAAGCGTCTTACGCAATCGATCTTCATATGATATAATTTGTCAGTCCTGACGTTCCTCTACCGACAAGGTTTGACGCATCTTCCATCAGATATGCAAACTCTATCTATTTCTCTGTACCTATACGAAATTTCGTATTATTTCGTAATGCTATTAGAATTTTCCTAAATCATTTTAATAGACTGCCCCAGTCTTGCATTCTTGAAAGTACAATCGACTAGTTGCCTGTTGCCTTTTTCATCTGGACTCTCAGCTCTCTCATAAACGTTCAGTGTGATATATGACCCTTCGTCGATTCTGAGTTTCCGGATATGTTGGACAAACATGCGTAGCGTGACGTACTTAAGAAACGCTCAAGGGTCGAAAGTAAGACATGCCTGTACCATATCTCACTCTCGGTCTCACTCTCGCCGTTTCTCGTGTCAATCGATTTCCTGCTAAGGTTGGTGAAATACGTGTTAACCCAGATATACCGAATGTTACAGGAATTAATTTGCCGTGAATATTATTCATTCACAATTTTAGAAATGTTTACAAATCCTTCTTGCGTTGATGTAAACAGTTAGAGGAACTATAAAATAGAATAACCTACGGATAGGAAATAATAATATTAATTGTAATTCCAAATGTGTAACAATGGCTCGTGAAAGTCATGAAGTATACTTATAGTTAAAAAGTGATTCTTTTTAATATAAAACCATATTCATATTAACCTTTTTTACGGACATCCTTTTCTCTATCCCATCAATCATATCTACATCATTAAAACTTTGAATATGAATATGAAAAAAAATAATTCGAAGCCTCATGTGCTAAAATGTGCATACGTATTAAACCACACATCCAAACCCGATAACATTCCGCGTCTGTTTTCTTTTATTTTTTTGCGCACCTTTCATTTTTTCGTTAAGTCAGGACTTCAGATTTTGTCCAAATATAGTAAATACTGGCTTTCCAGTGGATCTTTGTGAATCACTCTGTATATTGACGAAAATCGTATTAATATCCGTTTAAAAGATCTCGGAGTATAGCGATTTTGTTTTATGTTATGTATAGACGAATTACCGTGTCCTTAACAAAAAAAAAAACATAAATAATGTTTCTGTAGAATTTTTCCAATTTATTATAAATACGTCATTGTTATGGAATTAAAGTTTTTAATTGGTGCACTTTGACATTTTGTAGTAACTTGATGTGCTGATCAGCCTGGTGCTTGACGATTAGATTTTAAAGTAGATTTAATTTCATCGGACCTCTAACCGCTGTGACGGCACTACGAGTATGGTGCCGCGTTCAGTGTACATACAGTTGTTATATAATTACCGAATATGTCACTCACTGAATACTACAGTGGCACAACTCAAAAACCATTATTTCGAGAAAACGCCACAACATTGTGGTGGCATCCCATAGATAATTTAAAGAAAAAATAAAAAACTTAACAGTAATAATATATTACAAACAATGTAACTGTTATACTAAAAAAAAAATGATTTTCATAATTATAAATATATTAAATTTTCATAACTTCGGAGAGCGTTTCTCGAAATATGGTTTTTGAGTTGTGCCACTGTAGTATTCAGTGAGCGATGTAGTGTTTATGTTTTTCAACGACCGTATATTGGTTTGTTACAGGGTTGGCTGAACAAATCTGCTGAAATAGATAGTGCGTTCTTTGCTATGAAGAAAACTACAGCACACGTTAAAGGGAAACCTATAATGGGGTAATTATTATATTGAGAAACATGCACTTTGACTTACATAAGGGGTCATCCACAAATTATTTTATACTTAGGAGGGGGGGAGGTGGACGAAGTGTAACATTTAATAGAATTTGTATAGAAAAAATGTGTTTATGGATGACCTCTAACCTACGATAATGTTTAATCATAATTATATATATTATTTGAACTTAAGGATCGGTGCAGATCTGTCGAAAGATACGTCAAGCATATCAATTGAAGCATGCGTTAGTACGCGACAGATCTGTCAGGTGTACAAGGTCACATGTCTTGTCATATATTTGTCAGTTCTAATCTGACGTTCCGCGACCGACAATTTCCGTCACATATGCACCGACCCTTATTAACAGAGGTCGGAATTAGGTAGAGTTATTTATGTACTTGCATCGAAATGTTGATATTAATGTGGACCTTCCGGGGATTTCTTTATTTCTTCTTTCTTTATTTCTTTCTTTCATTGATGTAAGTTTGGCAACGTCGTGCGTGCAGTAGTTTAAATTGTGTAAAAGTAAATAAGTTTTTATTTAAAAAGTCACGGGATTTTTTCTGCTCTTTAAAATTAATCTCGGGATTTGAGGCATATCCACTTTATTCTTTCGCTGTATGAAATCAGTGTAAGTACATGAATAACTCTACCTAATTCCGACCACTGCTTATTACTCATCATAACGAGCTTAAGTTCAATTCAAACAATTACGACCGGATTAAACTAACTGTTTTCCCTTGACTTAGCCCGTGTAAATTATTACCCGCGTAGGTATGAAGTAGCTTACCAAAAGTGAAACGATTTTAAGATCGGTCTAGTACTTTCGGATGTAATTAAATGAAAACTAACAAGCAACCCAACAATCAAATTTCTCTTTATAATATAATTATAGATGGAAAAGTAACTGAATAACATATTTCTCTTTTAATACACATCCTAATTTACTTGATAGGTTTTAGGAAGACAATTACTATCATTATAATCCGTGCAATTACCGAGATTTTATAGTAAACGTTACTCTTAGCGTAACTTCTTTCATTTATAATAACTTTCATTAGTGATTATCAACAGCTCAATGGAGAATTCTCCTTTGTTGATATTACTGAAGAAAAATTATAAATAACGTAAAATGGCGTCTTAATCACATCCAAATGTGTCTTGAACGATTTTAACCTTGCTTAACAAATTAATAAACGTCCAAAAAGAATGCAACAAAAAATTATAATGAGCTGAGATGAAAGAGTTCGTATATTATCAATTAAGAGTTAATGCAAACTGTAATATAGCCGGTGCGTGCGAAATAAGCACCCTGGATACCGGCCAAGTGTTAATTCATAAACTCCCGACTTCTTTACGAGCTGGGAGGTTAACGATCGTGGAAATCGGCCTGGATACGTGTTATGTAGGAATTCCGTCCGTCCAGATTTGCAGGATTGGTCCCAGTTTTAAGGATGTATATATATAGTTTTTGAATTTCCCCAAATATTCAAATAAAATCAATTATTCCTATAATTATTATGTTAAAATCTTGATTAGAAAAGGATATGCTAGGCTTAGAGTAGCTCGGTGGCGTAGTGGATAAGCGCCGTGGCCCGCGATCGTAGTCGTTAAACAACTTTCGCAAGGGTCGGTCACGGGATGGGTGACCAAAAAAAAATTATTATCTCGAACTACTCCGTGCTTCGGAAGGCACGTTAAGCCGTTGGTCCCGGTTGCATTTGCAGTCGTTAATACCCTCCAATCCGCATTGGGCCAGCGTAGAGGGTCATGGCCCATCCTCCTTAACCACCCATAAGGAAGGCCTGAGCCCCTGCAGTGGGGACGTAAAAGGGCTGGTGTGATGATCCTAGGCTTGTGACGCAAATTAGGACAGAAAGGAATTTTTTTTTATGATAAATAACTAAATTCCGATTTTAATTTTAAATATCTGTCGATTTTATGATAATATTGAGACTTTCTATTTATTTAAGAGATTACTAGTTATAACTTGTGTATATTATGTACCTTTTGTTAAAGGAGGTGCGACAGTTAACGTTCAATGAATGACAGTATATCTATATCTGTAAGTTTTACGTTAAAAAATCAGACGGTTATCTTTATCATAATTTACCAATCTTACAGAAGGATAACTCAGTGTTATAACATCAGCGCTCGTTAAAATTACTCGTTTAAATGTGAATAAGCTAATATAAATGTAAAATTAATCTATGAAATGAGACTAGATATCGTTACGCAATTTAAAAGTATTTTAGGGTTGTCTATGATATGATATGCTTTCCCATTTTTTTTTTCACAATTGAGTTGAAACAAAAGTAAATTGAGTTTAGAAATTTAAAAAATAAGTTATTGTCTATATTTAGCTCTTTCATTACGAAAATTGATTTTTAACTTTTAGACTGTTAGTTTCAGTTATTGATTATGTTGAGTGTAAATTGTAAAGGAATTAAAGTTACTGTTTTGGCCCATTTTGATGTCGTATTTTCCGGTCAAGTGCTTACAGATATTGAATTTTGAGACAAATTTTACTGTTTTTGGGTTCTGTATTCACTGCTTGTCCGTTTGTCACTGTATCTTATGAACCGTGAAAGTTTGACAGTTGAAATTTTCACAGTTGATGTATTTCTGTCGCCGCTTCAACAACAAATCTAGAAACCAGAATAAAATAAACATTTAAGGGGGTTCCCATACAACAAACGTGATTTTTTCTGCACATTCCCCACGGAACCCTTCGTGCGCGAGTCCGATTCGCACTTGGCCGGTTTATTAAATATCGTGTAGTTTCTTGCGCCCATTCTTGTCTACTACTAAAATATGTCAATATACTTTGATTTTGAGCTTCAATGTCATCCACACGCGGTTTGTTGATGCATATAACAAATAAATAAACATAATAGGAGTTGACCTATGAAATTGCCGATAAAATTAATTTTTTTTTTAATTTTTAACAAATTTATTTAATCAAAATAGTTACCAATATTATTTATACATTGCTGCCATCTAATAGGAAGGTCATTTATGCTTTTGCAATAGAACTCTGAGGATCTAGACTGCACAAACTGTGTGAAAGAATTTGTAGTGCCTCCTGGGAAGAAAACTTCTTGTCACGTAGATAATTGTCCAAATCACGAAAAAGCTGGTAGTCCGTTGGAGCAAAGTCTGGCGAATACGGAGGATGACGAAAGGTTTCTAACTGCAGTCCCTGAAGGGTCAAAACGGTTTCTCGTGCTGTATGAGGTGTCTCGTTGTCATGGAGTAATAATGATGAAGATCGATTCATGAGTCGGTTCTGTTTTCTTTAAGAAGTGGGATCTGTTTTACTGCTAGATTTGCCGACATTATTCGAATTTCGGCACAATAGACATCTGTCATTATTGTTTGACCAGATCGGAGAAAACTAGTGAATAATACCATGCTGAGACCACCAAACAGATACCATTACCTTTTTAATGGTAAGTTTTGCTTTAGGACACTGTTGTGGCGTTTGACCTGGGGTCAGCCATTGCATTTTTCTTTAACGGTATCACAAAGAATCCACTTTTCATCACATGTCACAATCGATCTGAAATTCTTTCATTTCTGTACCAACACAAGTTTCAACACGCGTTTCTTTCTGCAGATCAGTCAAATCATGAGGCACCCATTTTTCCTATTTTTATTTTATTGATTTGACGCAAAAGTTAATATTATAGGTAAGGTAACGTTAAACCATGCCGCTAATTCCTGGGTAGTATGTCTAGGGTCGGCTTCCACCATCTCTCTTAATTCATCGTTATTCACCTGTGTGTAGTTTCCATCAAGAAAGCGTTTAAACCAAAATCGCACGGTGCGTTTCATTAGCAGACCCCTCTTCAAACGCAACATTGATATTGCGGGCTGTTTAAGCCGCGTTACTTCCGCGTCGGAACTCGTATTCAAAAATCACTTGAATTTTCGCAGTATCCATCTTTCTTGTCTAAGTTGAACAACAAAAACAATTGAAAGTCGATATTTAAATGTTTCAAGTCTTTTAAAAGAAGAATATCATAGAGACCATGCGAAAAAAGTTTCTTTCGAAAACCTTAAACCATGAAGATTCTATGTCAATTCAAGGAACCTATTACAATAAAACGGCAATTTCATACTTTAACCCCTAATACGAGGGTCAAACTGAAAGTTCTTAGAAAATCAAAAACTGATTACATTAGCCAGTTATTAGTTTTATTATATCTTTTCAAAATATTGTCCATTCACGTCAATACACCGCTGCATGCGATGGAACCACTGGGAAAAGCACTTTGCCCATTCGTCCTTAGGGGTCTCTTCAATGGCATCGCGATACGCAGCCACCGCTTCTTCAGCATTCATAAACCGCTTTCCTTTAAGTTGTTCTTTAATTTTTGGAAATAAATAAAAATCACAAGGCGCGAGGTCGGGGCTATACGGCGGGTGACCCAGTAATTCAACGTTTGATGTCGCCAAATAGTCGATCGTTCGCTTGGCGGTGTGCGACGAGGCGTTGTCGTGGTGAAGGAGGATCCTACTGCGAGGTCGTTTCTCTCGAACTTTTTCCAAGACAAGTGGCAAACAATTGGTAGTGTACCATTCTGCAGAAACTGTTTTTTGATCCTCTAACACAATTGTTGCAAAATGACCTATCCTTCCAAAGAACGAGGCCACCATTTTTTTTCCCGCACTTCGATCTCTCTTCACTTTAGTTGGCAACTCCTCGAAAGGAAACACACACTGAGCAGATTGTCTTTTGGTTTTAGGATCATAACAGTAAATCCAGCTTTCGTCACCTGTTAGTATGTCGAACACAGCATTTGAGTCACCTCCGTTAAATCTTTCAATCATTTTACGACACCAATCCACACGATGGAGTTTTTGAGCCTCAGTCAAATTATGAGGTATCCACCGGGCGCAAAGCTTCCTGACCGCTAAATGTTCGTGGAGGATTTTGTGCACTTGACTCATACCGATGCCTAAGCTTGTCCGAATCTGTTGATAGGTCACTCTTTTGTCAGTCTCTATCATACGCCGCACAACACAGATGTTATCTTCAGTCGTCGCCGTAGAAGGCCGTCCCTCACGTAAATCATCAGTGAGATTAGTGCGACCACGTTTAAACTCATTAAACCAGTTGTAAACAGTCGCACGAGATGGGGCTTCATCGTGAAAGGCCAATCGTAGTCTATCATAACTTTCTTGTTGACTTAAATGACATCGAAAGTCATAAAAAATCATTGCACGAAAATTTTCTCGTGTTAAATTCATGATGACGTGACACAGACAATTTTCAATTTGCCGCCAAATCGTAAAACAAATGACAAATGAATGAAATATATACTCAGTAATATTGGCAAAGAGTTATATTTTCAAATTTTAGAATTATTTTTTTATTATATTGTTTATAAGTGGCCAGTTCTAAGAACTTTCAGTTTGACCCTCGTATTACATAGTACCAAAGTATAATAAATATTCATTCACATTTTACAAATAAATGGTTCAGTATGCTATCGTGTCACTAATAAATTAATTTTAATAATAGCCTATAAAAAAATAAATTATATGCACTATAAATAATTTTGTATGTACATTCATATTGATAAAATAATTTTCCAGAATGTTGTAGTGTTGAAATGACTCGAGTGAATCAGACGGTAAATGTTTTTCAAGCTCAAATCGGACGCGCAGATTTATTTTGTTGATATACTTATTGCATATATTGTTCTACTTATAAATATTTATGAGCTTTTACATTTACTTGTATATACTGTTTTCCTTAGATTGTTGACTGGCTTATATTCGGTATCAGTCGATTTAATTTTAATAATAGTTTCTTGTGAGTTATTAAAATTGGTGCATATTAGGCTACATACAAACCTTAATGCTATGAATGTAGAGTTCAAAATCAATTGAGTAAATATGACATATTTTGGTAGCCTGATGTGTGCTTGTGAGTCAGACTCGTGCACCGAGGAAGAGGATTCCGTACAAATATTAAATTTAAAAAAAGTCTATTTGCATGAATACTGAATTACGTATGTGTACAAAGATATATGTATCTATGTCCGTCCGTCAGTATGTAGGTTATTATACGGTACATTATACAATCTTTATTTGTTGTAATCAACATAATATTAAATTCGGACCAAATTTTTCTGAGACAGACAGACGAATGGACACACAGATCTGGCAATCTCAACAACTGAAGGCCTACTCTGTTTCTCCGAAAACGAAATTTCGTTTATTTTCAAATATTTAATACATACCTATGACTCCAAAGAAACGAATTTTTCTCAATAAATACGGGTGTAGACGATGTTTTTTTTATAAGAGATACTTGAATTAAAATTAATGTCCAAAATTCCTCGGTAAAACGCTAACCTATGTCATGTGAGGCGTCGATGTGACGTCACATCCCTCTGAAACTAACATAAATAATAGCAACAACAAACATCGTTCTATGTACAGTTCTATGTATGTCAATGTCAAATTTATAACGTCTTCCTTAGAGGACTGTGACGTCACGCGCTGTTTACAGTCACGTGACAACGAGTGTAATTTTTACGAGTAAAAAGATTTTCTCGTGTATGACTGTTGAGTTATTATTAGAGAACATTACATATATTGCTACTACATCTAAAACCACCTCAACAACCGGCCCCAGAAAAGTCCATTTTCTACATTGAGCCGACCGGGAAACGAACTCCAGACCGCAGAGTTACCGATACCTTAAAACCGTTGAACAAGCTATTTGGCCGCGTGGGTCGTCATTATGTTTTGTTATTGGATAATATTTGCTTCATTAAAAGTAAGTTATTTATTGCAGAATAGTCGGCGCTCAACCCGCTGGTGCTCAGGTTCTCAAACCTTGGAAACAGGAGAAAAAACACGCAAACAAAAACAAAAGGGAGAAACTTAGACGCGTCTACGCTCATCTGGATGAACACTGATAATATGAGTGCACAGTCTGTTCCTAAAATACGCGAAATAACGGATTATGATTATGGGATCGTTGTAAGTAATCGATATGTATCGCTATCCATAGAACTCTTCGTGCGTTTTAAGGCCTCCCTCACATAATTGCAAATTTGCGTCGCATCTTATATTTCTGCGAACTCCTTTGACTAAAATAAAGAAAAAGAAGATACGGCAATAATGCTTTATTAATGGCCAAAAAAACAAAATTTTACGATATCCCATTCGGAAATATGTTAAAATACATCTTTAATTCAAAGTCAACTGTTTTATAGGTGTCTAGTTCGCAAGAAAGGATAGGACCTTGGTATCTACCACGTGTACATCTGCGATAGAGAGAATGGATCTTAGTTGTGCGTGTTGCTTGCGATCACGAGTTCCTGTCTCGCTCATGCCGTTGTTGAATTTCATTGCTGTCTCGCTTGCCCGTCGTCTCATTCACGCTATAGTTATATATATAACTATAGATTTCATAGCTGTATCTTGTTTGTTCGAAGAATACCATGTAAATGTGTGAGTGAATTTACTCATGTAGTTTTATCACTGCCATTTTTTGGTCAATACAATTATGATAATGCCGTATCTTCTTCCTTTTTTGTTTTAATCAAAGAGACTTTCGAGCGAGTCTACTGCAATATTACATCACATTTGCTGACACTATTTTTACTCGCTCTGAGACAGCGTAAATGAAGACGCTTGCTCCTAAATAGTTAATAATTCTAAAATAATCAAATAATGTACCTGCATTCTAACCACAATATTTTCGAGTAAAATATCTTTCATTAGCGTCGTAATCGGATTAAAAGGATTAACCCAAAATCCTCTATTTTTTCCATATCTATTTAACAGTGACAACAATAAAACAACCTTTTTGTGATCATTAGTCCTAAACACGGTAGTAGACACTACCGTTGAAAATATGGTCACATGTACCAATTTTTTGCTGTACGAAATGGTATCACAGTAATTCACATCATCGAAGGTTTTGTGTGGGAACCCTAAGTACGTGGTGGATCAGCGAGCGACCTATAGCGTCCCGTACAACAAAACCCAGTACTTCGCAGAAAACGATGTAGAGTTATATGGGTAGCGATACGTATAGTTTACTTTAGAGAATACTTAATACTTCGAGTCATTGTCCGTTTTTACGCTTACCGTCTGAATAGACTAATTATGTAGTGTTTAAAATACTGTGTAATGGTACAGTCAAGGACAAAGATTTGCGGAAGTCCATAAAGTTCGTGTATAATCTGTTATAAACAGTTTTGAATAAATAATTGACAGTATTTTTATACGTATTTCTTTTAAGTTAACTAATAATACATTAAAACAACTATTATGACTCACCGACATACCTACTTGGGCAGGAGACTAAATTACCAATCGGAATAATTCAAGTAGCGCGAAATCGCTAGAACTCCGCCGAGTGAGACGGTCACCATATCCGTTATAACCTGTGGATTACAAGAATGATGGAGCATTTTTCACGTCACATTTCAATAAACAAAACGCCAAAGTCTTTGCTGCAACACATTACTCGTATTTATTGAAATGTGACGTCATAGTTTGAAATGTCAAGTGATGATTATTTTCGCGGGATTAAAAAATATGTTTTGCTTTATTAAATCAAACCTTTTAGATAAAAATAAGTATGATAGTGGTTTAACATGATTATATAAACAACTTTAAAACTCTACAAACAACCCCACTTTCTTCCATTGTATAAGAGACGTGAGATTACAGATGTGGTAAGCTTACTTAAAATAATTTCAAATAAATATGACTCCCATGAACTTCTCTCTAAAATTAGCTTTATTGTTCCATCAAAATCAGTTAGATACTACACTCCGATTAGTTAGTCTGTGGCACATCTAAATGCATTTTTGTGGCGAGTATGTAGAACTTTAAATGAATTATGCGAGTCAAAAGACTTCGACATATTTTATTGTAGTATATCAGGAGCTAGGCAATTAATGAGCGATGATTTTTATTTTGTTTAGTCTTACTGAACATGCATTAGCATTTTTGTTTATATTTTGTAACACTCAGAGATATTGTTTTTTTTTTTCTATTTATCTGGTGCATATATGTTTTTCTGTTCTAAAATTTCACTTTACGATACCTGTGTTTACTCTGATAACTGTAACTAACCGTGGTAACATTTTATTGGCCATCTGTAATGTAATTTAATGTCTACATATAAAAATGATGTGCTGTTGGTGTTCCCGAATATATATAAATAAATCAATTAAATAAATTTTTAAAATAATTTCCCCAAATATTCAAGTAGCCTATTGCTAGTATGCGCAAAGGGGAGTCACGATATGAATAAGTTCGGTTCTACTGTATTATAATATACAGTATTATTCTTTCGCTAAAAAGAAAAAAAGAATGTTATTAAGGGCTATTGAACAATTGCTCCATTGAAATAGGTTTAAAATCTATACACAGAATAGAAGGATCAACAGTCGGGACCCATTCAAATTATACGGGGCTCCGTTGATTGGTCAAAAAGGAATGAGTCCTAGGTGTGTATGTTTCTATGTATATTATATTGTGTTTCTTAAAGTATGTATATTAATTAGCTTATCTTGCTTAGTCCATTCTAGTGGTTATTTTGTTTGTAATTGTACACCTAACCGCGTATTCTTCTCCATATTACCCTAAGGTTGACTGGCAGAAAATGCAGCAGGCGTAAGTCCACCTATGTACGTTTGTGCATAAAAAATATCGACGTAGTAACCCGCAAAACCAAGTGTTCTTCAGAGCAGAAAAACTTTTATTTATTTTCGGTAAATATTTCCTATAAACGTCTATGGTAACAAATGAGGAGTTCCTTAGTCAATTTAAACGGAAATAAGATTTTTTTTTTTAAAATTAAGATTTTCCACTCCAAATGTCCATTTTGGTTTTGCAGGTTACTATGTGTTTGCTTCCCAGCGTCGATATATAAATAAATAATTTTATTGTCCATCAGTATATTGCGTGCCTTCCACCCTAACTTATTTATTTACCTCGTGGGTTCATAAGTTTTGATACGAAATAAAGTTGCGTAACTTTTTAAATAATTCAGTTATATTTCTAAAATTTTTAGTATCCATTAAATAGATAATAAATTAACAATAAATCATACATTTTATTAAAAATTACCGCCCTTGTTTTTAATACAGGCCCTTAGACGATTTGGCCAGTCATTAATGTCGGTACGAATCTTTTCTAACGGAATTCGCTGTGCTTCTCGAACAATGGTTCGCTTCAGTGACTCCAAGTTTGGGTGGGACTTTCGGCAGGCTTTTTTAATAAGTCCATAAACAATAATCCACCGGGTTGAAGTCGGGGCTGCCGCAATGAAGGCCGGCACATTCTCCTTCAACCAAGCTTGGGTGCTTTTTGCTTTATGGGATGGCGCCGAGTCTTGCTGAAAAAACCAATCCTTATTGTGAAATAACGTATCAGACAGATTTCACCACGGGCTCTAAAATGTCACTGATAAATTCTTGGCACCTTGACACCTTGTTGGCAGAAATGGAGCGGAGTGACACCTTCATACGAATCTCTCAACCATCACACTAGCCGGATGATGAGTACGCGAGACATTCCGTGCAGAAGCTGGGACATCCTTGCTACTTTTAGCGTACACTTTATTGTTTTGTCGGTTGAACTTTTCTTCGACAGTAAAAATTTTCTCGTCGGTGAAAAGTATCTTTCTGGCATCATGTCTCCTCAGCAGCAATGGACAACGTTCGCGTCGTAACTTAGGAAGACGTGACATAAAAAGTGAACTTTTCTACGGCTCTAGGCCTTTACCTTAAGATCATATTTCAGTATTCTGTTCACTGAAACGCGTGAAATATTAGTCTGCAGAGCGAGTTTCTCCTGAGTACGAAATGGATTTCGGCGAAGTCGCTCTCGGATGATTTTGATGCTCGCATGCGTCCTCACAGAGCGTGGCCGACCACTCCTTTGGTGATCTTGCAGAGAACTTGTCTCTTTATACCGCTGTATTGTGTAATAGACGAAGTTACGGCTTACAGGAAAACTTTTCAGCTCGCGGAAAATCTGCATCGGTTTTTTTCCCGCCTTTAATAGCGAAATGACAGTTGCGCATAGGTAATTGTTTCGTTCCCTCCAACACGAGAAAATATAAATAAATGAGTTTGCGATACAAATAAACTAAAAGTAAACATTCCAAATTCAAAATTGGCAAAAATAAAATAACAGCCAGTAACATTTTATTTTATTTTTTCAGTAAAAAGTTTGTCTCAAAACTTATCAACACAAGAGGTAATAATAAGAGGATTAATTGAAAGTCCGTGGTTTGCTTATAGTGAACTGCGACTCATCTACGACTGCGAGGTCGCAACCCTAGGTTCAGAAACACCTCAGGGTTCAGATATGAATGTCATTATACCTATACAATCAGCAAATGCCTTTTGCATACAATGTGAAAATTCTCCAATGAAATGTACCTTATTTTGTAGCGATATAAAACTTAATTACCACTGACTCTTTATTTATAAAGTTAAATTCGAAAATACGACTTATAAAACACATTTTATATAAATTTAAAAGTTAACTCCGAAGTTTATATTCTAGTCTCATTTTTTTTTTACTTACTTATATTTGTAGTATAACTATTTCAACCCCACGAGTAATCAAATAAGAGTCTGATACTATATTATTTATTTAAAAACGAATTATGTGTATATTTTACTGATTTTATGACATCAATTGTTAAAGCCTATCGATTATTAATGAAAGCCAAGTAAAATTATTTTAAACATTTGCCAGTTCCCATTTATAGTATTCCCTACCTTACTACTACTGTGACTTTTTATTGTTAACTACATACAAAGTATATAGTGCAATAAAAACAATTTAAAAATATATTTTTTCTTATTTATCTAGATTAGTACCTATATTTTGTCTTTAAAACGATAATAATATCTAATCTCATTATTAGTCAGTGACTATGAGTTTTGCCTTTCAACAGACGTATGTATTAAAAGTTAATTATTAAAACAATATTGATAAGTAACAGTGTGGAAATGAGTATTTTGAACGACGTTTGAGTGACAGAATGACTGGTGTATATGAATGAAAGAGGTATACAAGAAGCGAGTGAAAAAGAAAATAGAAAGATTGTAGAAAGAACGACAAAGGCGTGCGCCCCGGCTCCATGTAAACGAAGATAAAAATAAAGCAAGTGATTATTTCGAAAAGCTCATTTTTATTCAGCTCCACCGCTACATAAATTATGGTTATTAGCATGTCTTAGTTTTTGCAATTGAATCTTATATTGAAAGATTCAAGACGCATTATAATAGTTCGGATTTATTGAACTAAAATTATATCGAAGTTGTCTATCAGTCATCGGTTCCAGAATATTCTCTGTTCGCGGTTTCGCCGACGCAGGCGCGTTGTCTAAATATTTTTTCGCCCGATGTCATTAATTTGATTTATATATAAAATAACACGTAGTTATACAAACATTCTTGGAATGCTTATGGCGTAATGCCGGCCCAAATCCTTTGATTTACGGCGCGGTTTCTAAATTAAGAAAAGTGGTCGATTTTACGTCCGGAGTCGGTATAAATCGACCAGTATAATGAGGTCACTTACTCGATTATTTGGTGTGAGAATTTGATCGATAATTTTCTTATAGTGTTGCCACATAATCATAGTTTACCTACTGACACATTATTTTATATTGTCTGAAAATAAAAAAGCATAAAATTATATTCCTATGATTTGTAAAGATCAGATCAGATTCTTTTTTATTTTTTTTATTTTGACTTTGAAATCGGCGTGTGGGTCGGCTATAGGCACGGAGCAGCTGACGCTAGTTGATTGCTAATGCTAATTTTCACAGGATCAAAGCATTTAAAAAATCACAATCAAATGTATGTCAGCAAATAGTACATAGTATAAAAATAGCATGCTAATAATATTATAAAAAGTATTAATTTCTTCAGTCTTGTCATGATCGATGTGTTGACCTCGGTGTCCTATGGGTGGTATCGGAGCACGTTCTCATAAAGGAGACCTTTTCACTTTGCTGTTGACATTTTATAAATTCTCAGCAGCAAAGCGGAAAAAGACAATTTTATGGAGAACTTAAGTTTTCTTTCTTCTTTGTTTTTACTTTCTTTCTTTCTTGTTTTTTACCTGGAAGAACATAATAAAAATAAAAAGCATTAAAAAGGTACTTACATATATATTGGCCCCATGTTGGGCGCCAATGATTATTCGGAGTGAGTCATGCTTATGAACGTACGAACATG